GTAGCTAGGACTTAACCCTTGCAAAGACACCTATGTGAGTATACTCTTTAGTTTACAAAGATGAAGTGTAGCTGTGTTAATAAAACTAAGTTGGTGAAGTCTTATATTACCACGAAGAGGATGCAACAAGTCTCTAGGTTTGAAGAAATCAAGTGGTAGGTAAAAAATGCCACTTCATACTTATTGGGGAGAATATGACATAAGTGTTTTAAGTGCTCTTTAGTTCTGTGATACATCCGTGTGTGTACTCACCGATTTGTGGTCACCTATTTATACTTCCAGGCTTCGAGACTTAGCTCCTAGCCCCGCCTTTTAGACCCCTTTGAGAGATATCATGGATTTAATCACGGATTTTTGACCTCTTGGGCCTTATCATATGTACTCAAGAAGCTGGGTATTGAGTTCGCCTCCACCACTGACTCGTCCGAGTCATTCCACCCTTCAACCACTCTGAGACTAAAGAAATATTTCCTTCCATTCATGTGCATCTTGTGTGTCTTTCTTTCTACCTGTATCCTCTTGACCATGGTTCTCTTCGTTCAAGCAGTCTGTCCTTGTCTGCCTCATCAGTTTCTCTTACCATTTTGTATGTCGTAATCATGTCTCTCCTTCTAGTCCTTCTCGAAGGTCGTAGGATTCAATTCCTTCAACCTCTTCTCATAGGGCATTAATTTCTTCTCTCTTACTAGTCTGTTTGTAAACCTTTGGACCTTTTCGAGCTTTTGCACGTGCTTGACCAAGCATGGGTTCCATGCTAGGGCCGCCTACTTAATGACTGGACTAACATAGTTCGTATAAAGAGTTCTGAAGGATTCTTTGTTCAAGTTTCTAAATGCTGTTCTGAGGCTTTCTAATTTTGCATATTTACATATTTGCATATTTACTACCTCCTGTTGGTTATCTATCATCTGTCAAAGACTCTTGTCAGAGACACTTGGCCTGTGTGTGTTAGTTACTAGTTGTTAAAGGCACTTGTCGTTAGACACTTGGCCTGTTGTGTATGTGTGACTGTGTTCGTGTGCGTGTGTGTGTGTATGTGCACTCACCTAATTGTGGTTGCAGGGGTCGATACTCAGCTCTTGGCCCCGCCTCTTCACTGAACGCTGTGGCTCGTACGTTGGTTTGCGTGCAGCCAGCAGTAACAGCCTGGGTGATCAGGCTCTGATCCACCAGGAGGCCTGATCACAGACCGGGCCGCGGGGGCGTTGACCCCCGGAACTCTCTCCAGGTAAACTCCAGGTCCAGTTAAACGCTACCAGGTCCTCTCTCTCCCTGCTCCATGAGCTTTATCATACCTCGTCTTAAACCTATGTATGGTTCCTGCCTCCACTACATCACTCGTCAGACTATTCCACTGCCTGACCACTCTATGACTGAAGAAATGCTTCCTAACATCCCTGTGACTCATCTGAGTCTTCAGCTTCCAAGAGTGACCCCTTGTTTCTGTGCCCCATCTCTGGAACATCTTGTCTCTGTCCACCTTATCTATTCCACGCAGTATTTTGTATGTCGTTATCATGTCTCCCCTAACCCTCCTGTCCTCCAGTGTCGTCAGGCCGATTTCCTTTAACCTTTCTTTGTAGGACATTCCCCTCAGCTCTGGAACTAGTCCTGTTGCAAACCGTTGCACTTTCTCTAATTTCTTGACGTGCTTGACCAGGTGTGGGTTCCAAACTGTGTGTGTGTGACTTTGTCTCAGGTTTAATATATTCTTGATTATCTTTATCTTATCTTCACTTAGCTATTACTCTCTCTATCTCTCCTCCACTCTAAGTATCTTTCACTCTCAGTATCTTTCCCCTCACCCTCACTGTCTCTTCTTCACTCTCAGTGTCTCTCCTTTACTCTCAATATCTTCTCTTACTCTTGTCTTCCCACACCCTCACTATCTCCTCCACACTCTCACTATCTTCCTCACACCCTCATTTTCACTATCTCCCCCTCACCTTCACTACTCCCCCCACACCCTCACTATTTCTCCCTTACTACTGCCAGCCTTCCCTTCCCTTACTCCCAACAATAATTTTTTTTGCACTAGTTCACCATTCCGTTCTTAGTCTTTCCCTTAGGATATAAATACTGACGAAGAACAGTAATACTCTTAACTGTCACCCATTATTACCTTTTAATAATCACCCATTATTATTGTGGTAAATTATGGGGATGAAATTTACAGGTACATTCCTGAAGTATTTCATCTACATGATTTGAGCGGGGATGGGGGGGGGGGGAGGGGTACACCTAAGCAACAATTTATTGTACTTACCAATATTAGTTGTACCTCAGAGTTAGGTGAGACCCACACACTCATTCCCATCCACAATTTAAGTAGGGCCTATAAAAATTATAATATAAAAATTGATTCCAGTAATGGTAAATTATAATATAGTGGACTGTATATTGGGTTTGTGACTTACTGATGGTTCGATGGGTCCACAACAACCAGTAGAAAGAAAGAATAAGTTAACCTGAGCACTTACCATTTAATTACTGGATCGCTATTATTTGTGGGACACACCCTAGCAACTAGAATTTACGATGGCCAACTCAGAACTACTGTACATTATGGGTAAACGTCACTTAGCTAATGTGTGCTACTGGGAAGAATCGGAGTCCTCTATTTTTCCATCCTTGTTGCCGAATTGATAGGGTTTTCCACACTATTTATCCCAATTCTCCAGCGGAGAACTTGTCAGCAATTTCTAAATTATGGATTGAGGCCGATATACACCAATTTGACCTAGATGACACTGGATTACTCGCCGCCACTAACCAATCAGCGCTCACACATTCATTTTTCACTATGGCATCCCACCCCCCTGTATCACTCCGCAGCCACTGCACACCCTCCTTCACACAAAATGTCTTGAAGGATCAAATCAGCGTCACATTTTAATACACAATTATTATATTGTTCATATTTACACATGCTGAATTTAGGAAAATTATTAAAAAAAATCCACAATTATCTTTTAACAGTCATCCATTATTACCTTTTAAAAGTCCTCCATTATTGTGCCTTTACAGTCATCCATTATTAAATTTAGAATGAGCATTCTTTTCTCTTTCACTGTTCAAGCACCACCTGAGAGAAATTTTTTTACTTTCCAAGCATTGGTTGGAAATCGTAAAAAAAAATCAAAACATCATATATGAATTAGACTTTTTTTCGGATGTTAAAACCGTTTCTGAATTATTAAAAAACTTGATATTCGCGCCAGGTTAATAATATCCTCTGAAAAATATGTCCTTAGCATAATGTCTCCGCCAAAATCAGATACAACACATCGTGTGGCTATTCTCATCTACATGGCATTTACAAGGTTAGACCACGAACTGTTCACCTAACACACCCATCACTCAGGATAATCTTCCTCTCACACTTCATCATATAAATTAACTCATCAAACTTGAAATGCTGGTCCATTATGCTCGAGAGGATGATTCGTAGTGCGTTTGGGCTGTCTTATTGTCAGTCTCATTAAAAAATAGGTTCATTGATTTCTGTGCAATAACTAGAGACTGTCTCTTCTAAATTTGGCTGGTGTATATATTATGCCGATGATCTGGAATGAGAACCTGGTGATTTCCTCCATTATTGCAGCTGAGTTGGATCTGCGCCTTTACGTGCTTTACGTGCTGACCTGCGCCTTCACGTGCTGATCTGCACCTTCATGTGTTGATCTGCGCCTTCACGTGTTGATCTGCGCCTTCACGTGTTGATCTGCGCCTTCACGTCTCTGTGGGTATGCCATTTTAATAGGTCACTGAGTACTAATGATAATAATATCCATTTCTACAAGTAGCCTACGTGTACAAGGTATACAAGTCTAGTTGACATCAATGACATACTACTGTATAGGAAGCCGCTTGTTTATGCCGAGCATTTCGGGCAAATTAGGTTAATTTTGTCCCAGGATGCGACCCACACCAGTTGACTAACACCCAGGTACCCATTCATCAACACAAGGACCCCAATCACTGAGTTTTTTGGGTTATCCTAGGTAATTAGTGACCTGGTGGCTAAAGCTCTCGCTGCACACAGCGAGGGTCTGGGTTCGATACCCAGCGAGGGTAGAAACATTGGGCGTGTTTCTATACACCTGTTGCCTATGTTGTTGTTGTTATTATTATTATTATTATTATTTTTGTGGAAAATACTGTATATATTTTCTGGAAATGCAGTGTATTTTGCATGTAAATTGATGGAATATATTGTAGGTAATAAAAATTAATTTGTAAATAAAGAACCAGCGATGGGTGAGCGTCGCTGGGGGTGGAGATGCCATTGTTTTGAATGGGGTAAAGGCACTCTAATGAAATGTGCATAAATTTTCGTCACTCTAGGGGTTATATTGGGCTTAAAACCTCTCAAATAGGAGCCGAAATTGTTGGATTTGCAGTCCTGCATAATGTGAGCATTAAGCAGATGGACAGGACAGCTTCGGAACCCCAGCTAACAGCTAAATCACATCTATTTTGTGTTGAAATTCTGGCCAGTATTTTCTTCATAAATTTAGGCAGGGGGGTTTTGAGTATGGCACACCATAATCTCCAGACTAATTGGTGAGTCTTATTATTATCAATTCTCCTTCAATGTATATGTATTCACATTTTAAATTTAATATACAGTCCACATATTTATATTAATGTTTTTACCAGAATTCCTGGTGATGTATATTTCATTTGAAATTAATATACGTCCAGAGTGACTTGTGGAGAGATAGATTATCGTAAGTATCGAAGGACAGTTTTTGCGACCTAGGTGTCCTAAAATTCCTACTTGTCTCTGTAACCTTGATAAAGAATAATTATCTTTGTTACCATTTACTGGTATGTATCTTATGAGTTACATCCAGGTAAATTTAATTATCCACAATTATTATTATTATTATTATTATTATTATTATTATTATTATTATTATTATTATTATTATTATTATTATTATTATTATTACTATTATTTCTATTATGATGTAGAGGGTGACATACTCCGGGCAGGAGGGTTCATGCGGACCTGAGGCCGTCACAACCATTCTACCCAACAGCTAAAATAACAACACAAGGCCGCTGTTAAACTTCTCGCTACTCTGTCTCCTCTGGACTCCTATTCTCCATTAGTGTGACCACATAAAGCGAGAATATCGTGGTATGATCCTCAATCCGATATTTTTGCCACTTAGTTGTAAATTCTGCGAGAAATTCTTTGGTGAAGCCACATCATCCCACGTGATATTTTCCTACACATATATGGCCAAATTACTGGATATTATTTAGCTACCCACATTTATACTAGTCAGAGAAAGTGCTATTTTACAGTGACGACATAAGACTGCATTTATTTAATTCAGTACTGTAGAATTTAGCATGCATCTGTTATCTTGTAATTTTAAGCTTTAAATTTTTATTTTACACTTCAAGGAGCTGCCTTGATGCTGGGAAGGGCTCTGGATCCAAAGAATTGGAGCTACCTTCCCCTTTCTCGGATTAAACCTAATTACCTCCCATTTAAAGGGAGCTGAGCAGCGCTGTATGACCCTTTTGGGTTTAACAGTTATGATTGTAATAATCAAGGGGGCTGCCTTGATGATGATGTAGGGCACTTGATCCAAGGAATTGAACATTCCCTTCTCTTCCTTGGCTCAAAACTGATTTACTTCCCATTTTTCACATGACCCCTACTAGTTTAGTGCTTCCTCAAGAATGTAATTTTCTTTTTTCTTTTATCTGCTTTATTATTATTAGTTGAATATAAATAACATATACATGTGCCTTCATAAGATCAGACAATACAAATATAATTTTTTTGTTTCTTTATGTGGTCCAAAAATAATGTATTTTATATATACTGTAATACAACATTGGTTGGCACAAAAAGCTATTAGTAGGCAATTAATTTCAGGCAAACTGACTTTGAGGAATTGAAGATTTTATTTGGATTATGAATCTGGAGGGTTAGTAACCCAGGATAACCCACTTGTGTAACTTTTTGGGGTTATCCTAGGTAATCTATACATATGCTGCTGTATGATAATTTATGTATGTAGCTGTATGTGTACCTATACCTGAATAAACTTACTTAAAGCCACTCAGACGTATTTCTATTTCTGTTCTTTCTTCTGCTTTTCCAGGATACAACCTGCAACAGTTGGTTAATGCCCAAGTACCTACCTACTACTGGGGCAACAGATGTAATGAAACACACCTGACGTTTCCACTCATGCATACGTAATATACTCTGGCTTGAAATACACAGTAGCCTTAAAATACTGAAAAGTACGGTCTGGATATTCTAGGTAAAGTCTTCACAACATATACGTAACCTGCATATCTTGTTGGATCCAAATGGTGTACTAACAACAGTGAATGAAAGACACTTTTTCAGAACAAACTTTTGTTGGGATAATGTGTCATTCTTAACTTGATTCAAATTCAGTTCAAATTCAGATTTTTATTTCTTTGCATTGTATACAATGTGTGATTTACATATTATAAAATATTGTTAAGCATAAACAAAGCCACTAGCATTCCTGAGCATTTCAGGCAAACTAATCCTAATCCTTACAGACTACTTAAAACTAGACATAGGTTATGGAGTAGTAAATTTTAATTATTCGTTATTTTATATTATTACAAAAGAGAGGTAGCCAAAAATTTTATAATTAATGAGATTTATAGTAGAGAGGTAGCAAAAAACAAATACAGTGGAACCTTGGTACTCGAACAAGTCCCTCCTCGAGCAATTCAGTATTTAAACACTTTGTTTGGTAAAAAAAAAATCACTTGGTAGTCGACCATTTTCTCAGCACTTGACCAAACAAACATGATCTGCCAGAACTTTGCTGTAAACTATTTCATGTTTCTTCACATTTTTTGGTGTTTTTTTTTATATTATTTCTATAAATAAATTACCATGGGGCCTACAAAGACTAGTGACAACAGCAAACCAAAAAGAAATTTGGTTGGGAAAAATTCTTTCGGTACTCGAACAGATCAGCACTCGAACAGCCTTCTGGAACAAATTAAGTTCGAATACCAAGGTTCCACTGTAAAAATATTACACTAAATACAATTTACAGTATGATGAAGCTCTACACATAGTAAAACAACATCCTAGTGAAAATTTTCAAGGATATCCTTCATTAAATGAGCTTAAAGAAAATGTCATTTGTATTTACTTGACAGTATGCATTAACTGTATGGAAGTACCCTAAACTAAACTAAACTGTCATGTTGTCTGAGACTGAAGATGTCCTTCTATATTTCTAGCCATGGTTTACCAAGATATGTTACCGTACCTTTACTTACTAATTGTAAGCACTGTAATATTTATTTTTAGGCATTTATAGTAATGTGAAACAACATTTGCAACTCATCGCTTGAGTATACTTACTGTGAATTATTCCATTTTTACCATGTAATTAAAACCCAAATTACTGTATTAACCCTTTGACTGACGCGGCCGTATATATACGTCTTACGAGGTACCGTGTTTGACGTATATATACTCATAAATTCTAGCGGCTTCAAGTCAAGAAGGAGAAATCTGGTAGGCCCACATGTGAGAGAATGGGTCTGTGTGGTCAGTGTGCACCATATAAAAAAAATCCTGGAGCACGCAGTGCATAATGAGAAAAAAAAAACTCCGACCGTTTTTTTTTTTAATTAAAATGCCGACTTTGTGGTCTATTTTCGTATAGTATTTATGGTTGTATTCTCGTTTTCTTGGTCTCATATGATAGAATGGAAAACATATTATAGAAATAGAGGTGATTTTGATTGATTTTACTGTAAAAAGAACCTGGAAATGGAGCTCAAAATAGGGGAAATGTTTGATTTTTGCCGATGTTCAAAAGTAAACAAATGATGTCATTGTTCAATAAATGTCCAACTAGCCATTCTAATATGCAGTCATGAATGGGTTGATGTTATTTATACAATTATTACAGTATTGCAGTAGTCTGCATAATAGTAAATCTTCTATTTTTTGTTTGAATAAAAATTAAAAATAGAAAGCAAGAGTAATATCAGAGGGGCCTGGAGACATGACTGATGAGCAAAAAGTGTTATTTTAGAGCCAGGAATGTCTGCATTGTTCATTCTGGACCTTATTTTGAAATTGTCATATTGTTTAGTTTTTGTGAAATTGGCCAAATTGCAAATTTCTGACCACGTTATTGGGTAGTTGAAATTGGTAAATGGGCAGTTTCTTGTACTCAATCGATAGAAAAAGTGGAGTTCTAAAGAAATAGCTATGAGTTTGGTCGACTGGAACAATGGAATTAGCCGAAAATAGGGCTCAAAGTGGGCAGAATCGCCAATTTGTAAATATCGCAGAGGTCGCTAACTTCGCGAAAGCGTAATTCCGTCAGTTTTCCATCAAATTTCGTTTTTTTTTTTTGTGTCATTGCAATCGGGAAAAGATTCTCTATCATTTCATAAGAAAAATATTTTTTTTTTTTTTTTTTTTTTTTTTTTTTTTGAAATTTTGCGACACCAGGAGACACCTCAGGATTGGGGGTTGCGACAGTCAAGGGGTTAAAATTTCTTAATTTTTTGTAATAAATCATGAAGCTTTGTAGTACTGTACTGATTATAAATAGCAGTCTAAGATCGGGATTGCATTTTCAGGTAGAAAAATGAGCAGTGGCTTTATTAGTGAGAAGGAAGCAGCAGAGCGACGCCGTGTTCGGCAAGAGAATTGGGAGAAAAACCGAGCGGAAAATGACCCTGAGGAAGCCCCAGAGGAACCACCTCCAGACCCTCGCTCATTGTTTGAACGTCTTCAGGAGCAGCGGCAAAAGAAACAAGAGGAATACGATGAAGCTCACAAGTCTGTGTTCCATGCTACAGCTGTATCTTCTCTTGTTAATATTGAGCATGACTTCAGTTATTGCTAACATTAGATTTATAGTGTCGTTGAGTAAATTTATGTATATGGTCATTGGTGTTAGTGGTACCATATATTGTACAGTAGTACAGTGGACCCCCGGTATTCGATATTAATCCATTCCTGAGAGCTCATCATATGCCAAAATTATCGAAAGGCGAATTAATTTTCCCCATAAGAAATAATGGAAATCAAATTAATCCGTGCAAGACACCCAAAAGTATGAAAAAAAAAAATTTTACCACATGAAATACAGTGGACCCCTGGTTAATGATATTTTTTCATTCCAGAAGTATGTTCAGGTGCCAGTACTGACCGAATTTGTTCCCATAAGGAATATTGTGAAGTAGATTAGTCCATTTCAGAACCCCAAACATACACCTACAAACGCACTTACATAAATACACTTACATAATTGGTCGCATTGGGAGGTGATCGTTAAGCGGGGGTCCACTGTATTAAGTTTAATGTACACAAACTGAAGAAGACATGCACAGTTTGTAGTACTCTACTAACAGTAGAATACATGACACTTACCTTTAATGAAGATCTGGTGATGATTGATGGGATGGCAGGAGGGAAGAGTGTCGAACTTATTGTTTTGAAGGGGAATCCCCTTCCATTAGGACTTGAGGTAGCAAGTCCTTTTCTGGGGTTACTTCCCTTCTTCTTTTAATGCCACTAGGACCAGCTTGAGAGTCACTGGACCTCTGTCGCACAACAAATCTGTCCATAGAGGTCTGTACCTCCCGTTCCTTTAAGATTTGTCTAAAATGGGCCATAACATTGTCATTGTAATAGTCACCAGGCCGGCTTGCAATAGCTGTGTTAGGGTGATTTTCATCCATAAAGGTTTGCAGTTCAACCCACTTTGCACACATTTCCTTAATTTTTGAAGTAGGCACAATGGATTCCACAACTGGCATAGGCTTCTCAGGGTTAGCCCCAAACCCTTCAAAATCTTTCTTAATTTCCATACTAATTCCCACCCTTTTTACCACAGGGTTGGCACTTGAAGCTTTCTTGGGGCCCATGGTGACTTATTTTGCAGAAACAAGCACCAAAAACACTGTGATAATATGGAATGTACCGAAAGTATGCTTAGATACGAGCACACTGGCTGGCTTGTAAGCACTGGCACGCACGGGGCAGTTCAGGTCACACATGGACATGTCTCGGACGGATCGCGTGTGGCGGGTTTTTTAACGAGTGGCGAGGCAAAATTTTTGCATTAAAATGTATCGAATACCGGATTTATCGGATACCGAAGCCATCGAATACCGGGGGTCCACTGTATTGCTTAATTAGATGTTGGTTAGGTTATAAGATTTGAGAATAGTAACTGGGATTGTATTGCTGAAGATTAATATTAATTATTTGTTTTACATGTGCTGTGATGATGAGATCCTCTTTACATTGTTTAGTAGTAAGCAGTCAGTAAATATATGTATGTATGGTATTTGCTATTATGTACAGTACCCAGTAGTTTATATTTTATTATGACTTAAGGTAGTTCATACTAAAATGGAAGCACTGTGCTATGACTTGAACAAAATTTTTGGAAGAATATGTAATGGTCAGACAAAACAGTCTATGATTTTATGGATATAAATACTTTGCAAATAGTCCACACTGAAAGAGGAAACATTAGAGGATGTTTCAACCCATCTTGGAGAACTGAGAGAAATAATGGCCCAGGATGGATTGAAGTATCATCTAAAATTTCTTTTAAATTTATGCTGTATATTTGTATAATAGCAAGCGTGCGTGAGCGTGTTAGATAGGAGTGAATGGAGACGAATGGTACTTGGGACCTGACGATCTGTTGGAGTGTGAGCAGGGTAATATTTAGTGAAGGGATTCAGGGAAACCGGTTATTTTCATATAGTCGGACTTGAGTCCTGGAAATGGGAAGTACAATGCCTGCACTTTAAAGGAGGGGTTTTGGGATATTGGCAGTTTGGAGGGATATGTTGTGTATCTTCATATGTGTATGCTTCTAGACTGTTGTATTCTGAGCACCTCTGCAAAAACAGTGATAATGTGCGAGTGTGGTGAAAGTGTTGAATGATGATGAAAGTATTTTCTTTTTGGGGATTTTCTTTCTTTTTTGGGTCACCCTGCCTCGGTGGGAGACGGCCGACTTGTTGAAAAAAAAAAAAAAAAAAATTGTATAATCTCCATGGGGAAGTGGAACAGAATTCTTCCTCCGTAAGCCATGCGTGTCGTAAGAGGCGACTAAAATGCCGGGAGCAAGGGGCTAGTAACCTCTTCTCCTGTATGTATTACTAAATGTAAAAGGAAAAACTTTTGTTTTTTTCCTTTTGGGCCACCCCGCCTCGGTGGGATACGGCCGGTGTGTTGAAAGAAAGAAAGATTTGTATAATGTTCATCTAGGGTATTGTTCCCCTATTATTGATAACAGCACAACCAATGGAGGAAGAAAAACAAAACATTGCTATTGGTAAACTCCTTATTCCCTTTACTAACTCTAAACAGACTTTTGTATTTCTATCCATTCTGTAATACCAGTCTAGATCCTTTTTACATGCATGCATTATTAACTAGCAGGAAGCTCTGCATAAATTTGGTAGCAGGAATGAGGTAAAATAGGCACCAAACAAACAAACAAATACATTATGGGTAATTTCAACCACAGGGAGATCGATTGGGAAAACCTGGAGCCACATGGGGGTCCCGAAACATGGAGAGCCAAGATGATGGATGTGGTACTGGAAAACCTCATGCATCAACATGTCAGGGACACTACCAGAGAGAGAGGGGAGGATGAACCAGCAAGACTGGACCTTGTGTTTACCCTGAGCAATTCAGACATTGAGGACATCACATATGAGAGGCCCCTTGGAGATAGTGACCATGTGGTTCTGAGTTTTGATTACATAGAATTACAGGTGGAGAGAGTAACATGAGTTGAATGGGAAAAGCCAAACTATAAAAGGGGGGACTACACAGGTATGAGGAACTTCCTGCAGGAGGTTCAGTGGGACAGAACTGGTAAGAAAGTCAGTAAACGAAATGATGGAATTTGTAACAACAAAATGCAAGAAGGCAGAGGAAAGGTTTGTTCCCAAGGGCAACAGAAATAATGGGAAGACCAAAGTGTGTCCTTAGTTTACCCGAAGGTGTAGGGAGGAAAAAACTAAGTGCACTAGAGAATGGAAAAGGTACAGAAGGCAAAGACCCAGGAAAATAAGGAGATTAGTCGAAGAGCCAGAAACAGGTATGCACAGATAAGAGTACGAAAATGACATAGCATTGAAAATCAAGTCTGACCCGAACCTGCTGTATAGCCACATTAGGAGGAAGACAACAGTCAAAGACCAGGTGATCAGGCTGAGGCAAGAAGGTGGGGAGCTCATAAGAAACAATCAAGAAGTATGTGAGGAGCTCAACGTGAGATTTAAGGAAATATTTACAGTGGAGACGGGAAGGACTGGGAGGACAGAACAGAGGGGGACACCAACAAGGAATATACCAACAAGTGTTGGAGGACATACATACAACTGAGGAGGAGGTGAAGAAGCTGCTAAAGGACCTTGACACCTCAAAGGCAATGGGACCATACAACATCTCCCTGTGGGTCCTTAGAGATGGAGCAGAAATGCTGTGTGTGTGCCACTAACCACAATCTTCAACACATCCCTTGAAACTGGGCAACAACCTGAGTTATGGAAGATGGCAAATGTAGTTTCCATTTTTAAAAAAGGAGACAGAAAAGAGGCACTAAACTATAGACCAGTGTCACTGATCTGTATAGTATGCAAAGTCATGGAGAAGATTATCAGGAGGAGAGCGGTGGAGCACTTGGGATGGAACAAGAGTATAAACGACAACCAGCATGGATTCATGGAAGGCAAATCCTGTGTCACAAACTTTCTGGAGTTTTATGATAAAGTAACAGAAGTTAGACACGAGATAGAGAGAGGGGTGGGTTGATTGCATTATCTTGGACTGCAAGAAGGCCTTTGACACTGTTCCTCATGAGAGATTAATGCAGAAGCTAGAGGATCAGGCTCATATAACAGGAAGGGCACTGCAATGGCTCAGAGAATACCTGACAGGGAGGCAACACCGAGTCATGGTATGTAATGAGGTATCACAGTGGGCACCTATGACGAGCCAGGTCCCACAGGGGTCGGTCCGAGGACCAGTGCTATTTTTGGAAAATGTGAATGACATGATGGAAGGGATTGACTCAGAAGTGTTTGCAGATGATGTGAAGTTAATGAGGAGAATTAAATCAGATGAGGCTCAGACAGGACTTCAGAAAGACCTGGACAGGCTGGACACCTGGTCCAGCAACTGGCTTCTCAAATTTAACCCTGCCAAATGCAAAGTCATGAAGATTGAGGAAGGGCAGAGAAGACTGCAGACAGAGTATGGGCTAGGTGGACAAAGACTGCAAACCTTGCTCAAGGAGAAAGATCTTGGGGTGAGTATAACACCGAGTACGTCTCCGGAAGCACACATTAGCAAGATAACTGCTGCAGCATATGGGCGCCTGGCAAACCTGAGAATAGAGTTCCAATACCTTAGTAAGGAATTGTTCAAGACACTGTACACCGTGTATGCCAGGCCCATACTGGAGTATGCAACACCAGTTTGGAACCCACACTGGGTCAAGCTCCTCAAGAAATTAGAGAAAGTGCAAAGGTTTGTGACAAGGTTAGTTCCAGAGCTAAGGGTAATGTCCTATGAAGAAAGGTTAAGGGAAATCGGCCTGACGACACTGGAGGACAGGAGGGTTAGGGGAGACATGATAACGACATACAAAATACTGCGTGGAATAGACAAGGTGGACAGGATGTTCCAGAGAGGGGACACAGAAACAAGGGGTCACAATTGGAAGTTGAAGACTCAGATGAGTCAAAGGGATGTTAGGAAGTATTTCTTCAGTCATAGAGTAGTCAGAAAGTGGAATAGTTTAGCAAATGAAGTACTGGAGGCAGGGACCATACATAGATTTAAGATGAGGTATGATAAAGCTCATGGAGGAGGGAGAGCGAGGACCTTGTAGTGTTCTGTGAAGAGGCACTGCAACCACAATTAGGCGAGTACGTACACACACACACACACATGTACACACACACACACACACACACACACACACACACACACACACACACACACACACACACACACACACACACACACACACACACACACAGTGGAATAGTTTGGGAAGCGATGTAGTGGAGGCAGGATTCATACATAGCTTTAAGCAGAGGTATGATAAAGCTCACGGCTCAGGGAGAGTGACCTAGTAGCGATCAGTGAAGAGGCGGGGCCAGGAGCTCGGACTCGACCCCCGCAACCTCAACTAGGTGAGTACACACACACACACACACACACGTACACACACGTACACACACACACACACACACACACACGTACACACACACGTACACACACGTACACACACACACGTACACACACACACGTACACACACACACGTACACACACACACGTACACACACACACGTACACACACACACGTACACACACACACGTACACACACACACGTACACACACACACGTACACACACACACGTACACACACACACACACACACACACACACACACACACACACACACACACACACACACACACACACACTATAAAAGAGGGGACTACATAGGGTTGAGGAACTTCCTGCAGGAGGTTCCGTGGGACAGAGAACTGGCAGGAAAGCCAGTAAATGAAATGATGGAATATGTAACAACAAAATGCAAGGAGGCAGTGGAAAGGTTTATTCCCAAGGGCAACAGAAACAATGGGAAGACCAGAACAAGCCCCTGAGTGAAGTTGCTGCTTTCTGCCCGTCTTGTGATATAGAAGCTTGCTTCATGCTGTCCTCGAAGTGGATCCAAGTGTGGTACTTTGACAATATTGGCCTTGTACATAGCAGTAAGGCCACCCACATCCCTCCTGTGTTGAAGACTCTGCTGAAATGACAGATCTATCCAGGATTGGTCCAGGCGAGAGAGAGATGTCTTGCTCTGTTCTCTACTCTGTCAAGCAGTTGCAGATGAGGGGGGGGGCAGGCAAACCCAGAAAGTGGAGCATACTCAAGGTGTGAGCGTACTTGTGCCTCCTACAGAATCTTGCAACCCCTACTTTCAAGCAGATGCGAGATATGGCGAAGTGCTGTAAGCTTCCTGGCTGCCTTGTTTGCAAGATTTACAGTGTGGTTCTTCATGGTCAGTTTGGAGTAAAATTTCACCCCAAGGATATCAACTTCTTCCCCAGGTGTCAACACCCTCCCATTCATCCTTACCTCTGCACCGGCATTACCATTATGGTGCCTAGAGACCATCATCATTAGTGTTTTCTCAGGTGCAAATGTTACTTGCCATCTATTTCCCCAAGCTGATATAGCTCTTAGCTGGTGATTGATGTAGCTTAGACTGTCAGTGTACTGTCGTCTGCATATGCATGGGTTTCTGGGATGAGATGAAGAAGGTCATTGAGGTAGACATTCCATGACAATGGTCCCAGCACTTTCTTTCTTTCTCTCTTTCTTTCTCTCTTTCTCTTTCTCTCTTTCTCTTTCTCTTTCTTTCTCTCTTATTCTCTTTTTCTCTTTCTCTCTCTTTCTGCCTATTCTTTCTCTCTTTCTCTTTCTTTTTCTTTCTCTTTTTTTTTTTTTAATGCAGGGTTTGGCAAGATTAGGTTAAGGATCCTTAGCTTTATTGACAAGCTATTCACAGGTTAAGGATTCCTAACTTTATTGACAAGCTAATAGCTGTTACCTACATCAGCTCATTTGAAAGCATTTTTATTGTTATGAAACATACAAGTAGGGAACAGGATGAAATTGGAGCCATCTGTGGGCCAGCATTTTCATCTGATCAACTGACTTTATCTCATTGACATCATAATGCTGTACGAATGTTTTCCATACTCGAGTCATCCTGGGAATAAGTGATCTCAGATGAAGTGATGTTCTGGAGAAGGGTAGAGCCAGAGTGAAGTTGCTGCTTTCTTCCCATCACAGTGTCCTCACTCATTTGCCATGTTGAATATATCATAATGTCCTGCTTGTGTAGGTATATGAAGCCCTGACTGAGACATCTAGAAGCTCAGGTGATCTTTAGTCCAAAAGTGTCTAGAACCTTCCTCATAGTAATTATTTAATTTACACTTATAAGCACTCATAAAAAATAAAACATTTAATTCTAATGGTCTTACAAAGAAGTTACAGTAGTTAGATTTACATATCATTTGGTTGTAGTTTTGATTCAACTGTAATGAAGATAAAAGTTGATACAAATGCATGTTCAATAGAAAGCCATTTATTAAGTGAAGTACACCTACCATCCGACTTACGACCTGCTCGACTTACGACCACTCGACTTATGACCGTGTTTTTTTTGCCAGATTTCTGGGAAATAAACAACTATTTGTGTTGTACACAGTGTTTATCCTAAACCTTACAGTATAAAATACAGTACTAACAGCATAAAAAGTAAAACATGAAATACCAAAATAAAACAATAAAATAAAGTCATTACAAAAATGTGATGTTGATATTCAGTAGTAAAGTTCGACTTACATCCATTTCGACTTATGACCGGTTTCTCGGAACCGAACTCAGTCGTAAGTCGGATGGTAGGTGTATTTTAGGCGAGCTCGTCTTAAAACCTCATATACAGTGGACCCCCGGTTAACGATATTTTTTCAATCCAGAAGTATGTTCAGGTGCCAGTACTGACCGAATTTGTTCCCATAAGGAATATTGTGAAGTAGATTAGTCCATTTCAGACCCCCAAACATACACGTACAAACGCACTTACATAAATACACTTACATAATTAGTCGCATTCGGAGGTGATCGTTATGCGGGGGTCCACTGTACTACTAAATTCTAATTCTGGCAGATTTTTAGTTTAGTCTCAATTCTACATAAATCCTAGTGCTCAACGGTACATAATAATAATATTAAAATTTTAATTAGCATTCATCTTTGTACAATAAAATATAACTATTACATGATTAAGTTAACTACACTGTAACCATTTCCAGACAAGAGAAAAATATTGTTTTTTATTATTTTTTTTATTAACACATCAGCCGTTTCCCACCAAGGCAGGGTGGCCCGAATAAGAAAAACTTTCATCATCATTCAATCCATCACTGTCTTGCCAGAGGTGTACTTACACTACAGTTATAAAACTACAGCATTAACACCCCTTCTTCAGAGTGCAGGCATTGTACTTCCCACCTCCAGGACTAAAGTTCAGCCTGCCGGTTTGCCTGAATATCGTCATAAATGTTACCTTGCTCACACTCCAACAGCATGTCAAGTCCTAACAACCATTTGTCTCCACTCCTATCTAACGTGCACACGTATGCCTCCTGGAAGTCCAAGCCCCTCACACACAAAAACCTTCTTTACCCCCTCCCTCCAACCTTTCCTAGGCTGATCCCTACCCCACCTTCCTTCCACTACAGAGAAAAATATGTCTTCATTAATTAAGTATGAATTATTCTAAAAAGGCCTATAGGTTAAATAATAACATCACTGTCAATTGCTCTACAAATATTTATTAATTTTCAGGTTTAAAAACATGGTGCGTGGGCTAGAAGATGATGAGGTGGACTTCTTGGAACTTGTTGACCGCAGCAAACTACAGGAAGAAATACGAGTTCGCACCGAGGAAAATACTGCCATGATTGAATACAGGTTCCATAGACAGTCTTAGAATTATATTGTACAGTCTAGTACAGTTTGCAAATTAGAAAAGTTTTGATAATGTTTCAGCTGTAATTTGTAATAATGAAGGAGTTCTAATTTACCATATTTTGGCTCTTCAACTAGTATTTATCTTACTTGATTGTGGTGTACATACTGTGTTTTGAAGGTGGGTATTACAAGCCTTGTACTTTGAATGTCGGGTTGGGATTCATAAATTTTCTTAATTTTAACCCTTAAACGGTCCAAACGTATATACACGTTTTTTCAACATCTGAAAGTATGTAAAAAAATGTAGATCTTTTTTTTTGTTTTTACATTTGAAAACGTGTAAAAAAACTTTTATCTACATTTTTTTTTGTTATATTTGAAAATATGTAAAAAAAAGTAGATCTACTTTTGTAGCACTACAAATTTGAACGTCGATCTGTTTGGACCATTTAAGGGTTAAGATAAAAATTGGGAAGTGGGTGGTAGTGGTTGTATTATTATTTTTATTATTGTTACTATTCATATTATTATTATTATTATTATTATTATTATTATTATTATTATTATTATTATTATTATTATTATTATCATTATTATTATTATATTCATAATAGAGCTAATCCCATTTTCTCATATGGGTTATAAATGGCAAAATAGTAGGTGCGAGGCATGTAGGGAAGAATTTGTGCAAAACTGAAAGTCAGAGTTGGTTGACAAATGGGTGCATAACCAGTAAAATAATAAAATTACAAAGAGTGGGCTCAGTAATGTAAAAATGAGAAACATGTAAGGAAAAAGGTCAGTCATGCATGACATAAATGAATGTAGAGAATACAGTATTCAAGTGCATATGATGAGTAAAATTATGAGTGCCTAAATTTTTCAGTTTTTATTTTTTTTGCAGGAAAAAAGTGTCTGCCATGCAAAAAAATATTGCCGAAGAAGAAATAAGAGCAGAAATGAAAGCTTCAGAGGCACGGAAAAACTCAGGAGGAAGTAAAAAGACATCACATCTGTCTCTCCTGGCAGGAGCAATCAAGAGAAAAACTAGTGATGATGATAAAAATACACAGGAGGCTGGTGAAGCTAAAAAGACAAAAACTGGTGAGCTTAGAATGTTTTTTAATGTAATAGTATAATGTAATATTAAGAGTAAATGAGGATGCAGTTGAAATTGGGGGAACACTGAATAACTAACAATGAAGGTAAATTTGTTGAAATACTCTTGTTTATTAGTGGCATAGAAGAATTTCACTAAATGTGAGGGACAATCCAAGAGCCCTTTCACTTCATCGTGGATCTCTTAGTTATCTGCCATGTGATGTACTGTGTTTACGAATGAAAGGATTAATGTCAAAGGTGTCATTTATGTTAATGTAGACAATGTGCCCTTAACTGAAACTTATTTTTCCATTGTTAAATGTTCAGAAAAAGCAGCAGATATCTAATGTTTTTTAATATAAATAATGGTCTCAACAAATAATGCTGTTTACTGCCCACATTCTTATTCTGAAACATTGGAAGTTATTCATTTATAAGATTTGTCTCCATAAAACACTTTTACAGTAATGTATTTTCTTCAGGAAGTCTGATTTTTAGCTGATGTTGTTTTTATTAATTCTCTAATGGGTATCTTTATATACATGTCAATGATGGGTTTAACCCTTTGACTGTCGCTGCTGTATATATACGTCTTACGAGGTACCGTGTTTGACGTATATATACTCATAAATTCTAGTGGCTTCAAATCAAGAAGGAGAAAGCTGGTAGGCCCACATGTGAGAGAATGGGTCTGTGTGGTCAGTGTGCACCATATAAAATAAATCCTGGAGCACGCAGTGCATAATGAGAAAAAAAACTCCGACCGTTTTTTTTTAATTAAAATGCCGAATTTGTGATCTATTTTCGTATAGTATTTTTGGTTGTATTCTCGTTTTCTTGGTCCCATTTGATAGAATGGAAAACATATTATAGAAATAGAGGTGATTTTTGATTGATTTTTACTATAAAAAGAACTGGAAATGAGCTCAAAGTAGGGGAAATGTTTGATTTTTTGCCAATGTTCAAAAGTAAACAAATGATGCCATTGTCCAATAAATGTCCAACTAGCCATTCTGATATGCAGTCATGAATGGGTTGATGTTATTTATACAATTATTACAGTATTGCAGTAGTCTGCATAATAGTAAATCTTCTATTTTTTGTTTGAATAAAAATTCAAAATAGAAAGCAAGAGTAATATCAGAGGGGCCTGGAGACATGACTGATGAACAAAGAAAATGTTATTTTAGAGCCAGGAATGTCTGCATGTTCATTCTGGACCTTATTTTGAAATTGTCATATTTTTTAATTTTCGTGAAATTGGCCAAATTGCAAATTTCTGACCACGTTATTTGGTAGTTGAAATTGGTAAATGGGCAGTTTCTTGTACTCAATCGATAGAAAAAATGGAGTTCTAAAGAAATAGCTATGAGTTTGGTCAACTGGAACAATGGAATTAGCCGAAAATAGGGTTCAAAGTGGGCGAAATCGCCGATTTGTAAATATTTCCGAGGTCGCTAACTTTGCGAGAGAGTAATTCCATCAGTTTTTCATCAAATTTCGTTTTTTTGGTGTCATTACAATTGGGAAAAGATTCTCTATCATTTCATAAGAAAAAATATTTTTTTTTTTTTTTTTGAAATTTTGCGACACCAGGAGACACCTCAGGATTGGGGGTTGCGACAGTCAAGGGGTTAAGGAGGCTTTTTAGGGGTGAAACAAATATTAGATAACCATATCAGTTTATAGAGGTTGTTTTGAATGCTATCAGATTTAGTACTGCAAAGTACTAAATGAAATGCTTCACAACTAACCCACAAATTGGAAATTAAATTGGACTGTATTTTGGTATCTCCTGAATCATTTTATCATGTGTATGCAAGAGAAAAGAGAAAATTAGAAGTTTAAGTCAGGTTAAGTGAAGCAAGAAGACACTCAAGATCAAGTTAAGTTGCATGTCTTGTTAAGGTTAGAGCATTCAAGAATGTTCTGAGAAAGAAGGGTGGACTAAGATTCAAGGTACCAGATAGCTATGAATGCTGCATTCGAGCTTGGATTGAACAAAATAGAATATGTAAAGGCTTTGAAGAGGGCTTGATAAATTTAACAGAAGAAAATCAGATAGAAAAAGTGGATAGATTTCTTCTCTAATATGACAGAAAAGAGTATTGTTATTGTCTACAAGGTGAACACTTACTTCTGCTCTTTAAGTCTGTCAGAAAGGAAATTCTTTGTTTCACCAGTGTATTAGAGGGCAAGTGGAGCAACAAATAAAAGTAATTGCCTGAAGTATTAGTGCTTTGAAATGTATTAGCCTGATAAAATACATGTTTAATATCTTGTGGACAAAGGTGTTATTAAAATTTCATAAATTAGCAATACCTGTATAAGGAGAGATGGAGATAATGGAGATGTCATTTGTGAAGGCTATGTATGGAGTGAATGTTATGCAGAGAATTCAGAGCTTGAAGAATATTTGGACATTTAAGACAGGCTGGAACAAAATAGACTCACAGTGAGAGTATATAAATCTGGGGTGCAGAAAAGGATTAGGAGTCATCCCAGAAAAGGTTGGAGAGAGGGGGTAAAAGAGATTTTGAATGCCAGAGGTTTGAATGTCAAACAGGCTTTTATGAGCATTTTAAATAAGAGTGAGTGGAGGCAAGTGGTTCTAATGACTTGAAGTGGACAGCTGTTGGAGTGTGAGCAGGGTAACATTATGAAGGATTCATGGAAATGAGTTAGCTGGACTTGAGTCCTGGAGGAGGGAAGTGCAATGCCTTCACTCTAAAGGATGGGTGAGAATGTTGCAGTTTAGATGTCATTGTGCTTCAGGCAAGACATTGATTAAGTGAATGACAGTGAATATGCATTTTTTTTTTTCAGGGGTACCCTTCCTTAAGGGGAAATAGCTGATGTATTGAAAAATCTTAGTTAAAAATAAATAGAATTAAATACAGAATATCATGGCTCGGGAGCATCTCCAATTACAGTGGACCCCCGGTTATCGTAATTAATCCGTTCCAGTGTGACTAAAACCGGATTTGATGATATCCGAATTCATTTTCCCCTTAAGAAATAATGTAAATGCAATTAATCTTTTCCAGACACCCAAAAGTATTAAAATAACTTTTTACATGAAATATACATATACCTACACAGAAAACAATGAGACATGAAGAATAAACAATAATAACATGACACTTACCTTTATTGAAGACTTGTTGATGTATGGAAGACAGGAGGAGAGGAGAGGATGGAGGAGTTACTATTGTTTGGAAGGGGAATCCCTTTCTATAAAGACTTCAGGTACCAAACCCTTTTCTGGGGTTACTTCCCTTCTTTGTTTTTTAATGCCACTAGGACCAGCTTGAGATTCACTGGACCCCAGTCACTCAAAAAATTGTTCCACAGAGCTCTGTTTCTGGTTTTCCTTTAAAATTTCCCTAAAATGGGACACGACATTGTCATTGTACATGTTGTCAATTCGGCCTGCAACAGCTTTGTCAGGGTGATGTTCATCCATAAATGTTTGCACCTCACTCCACTTTGCACAGATGTCCTTAATCTTTGAAGAAGACACCTTCTTCCATCTCTCTTCCTCCTCCTCTGAAGCAATTTCCTGAGCTGTGGTCGCTGTTGTAGCTCTTCAGTGGTTACCTCTTCCCTGTGGTCCTCCACCAGCTCTTCCACATCCTTGCCACTCACCTCCAACCCCATGGAATTCCCCAATGCCACATTACTTTCCACAATTGCCATAGGCTCATCAGGGTCAGCCCCAAACCCTCTGAATCCCTAACTTGGACACATTCTGGCTACAGTTTTCTCCAAACAGAGTTCAAAGTCCTGGAAGTCACTCCCTCCCAAGCCTTACCTATTAGGTTTATGCAATGGAGGATACTGAAGTGATCTTTCCAGAGCTCTCTTAGGGTCAATTCAGTGTTGCATTGCTTTGGTGTAGAGTTTTTTGAAGTTTGAAATGACCTGCTGGTCCATGGGCTGGAAGAGATTAGTAGTATTAGGGGGCAAGAACTTAACTGTGATGAAATGAAACGAAACTCCTCCACAATTTGCTCATCCAAGTCTGGAGGATGAACAGGAGCATTGTCCAGTACCAGGAGGCACTTGAGTTCCAACTTATTTTCCAGGAGGTATTTCTTCACATTCGGGCCAAACACTTCATTGAACCAATCAAGGAAAATTTCCCTCGTGACCCATGCCTTACTGTTTGCCTTCCACATCATACACAATTTACTCTTGATGACACTGTTTTTCTTGAACACACTGGGATTTTCAGTGATAATCCAGTAAAGGCTTCACTTTGAAAACCCCATTAGCATTACTACAGAACATGAGAGTTAGCCTGTCTTTCATAGGCTTAATGTTGAAAAAAAAAAAAAAATGTCCTGGGAGTGCCTTTACCTCCTGCATGATGTAGGTTCTCTGGCATTTTCTTCCAAAAGAAGCCTGTTTCATCACAATTGAACACTTGTTGGGGTTTGAATTGTTCAGCCTCTATGTACCCCCTGAATTCCTGAATATATTTTTCAGCCACATATTTGTCAGAACTTGGAGCTTCGCCATGCCTTACCACACTGTATATGCCACTAAGCTTCCTAAATCTCTCAAACCAGCCTTTGCTGGCCTTAAATTCACTAACATCAGCACTAGTTCCAGGCATTTTCTTTGCAAGATCATCATGCAACTGCCTTGCCTTTTCACAAATTATCGACTGCATAACACTATCTCCTGCTAACTGTTTTTCATTGATCCACCACCAACAGCAAAGTCTCCACATCTTCGAGTATTTACGATCTCTGTTTTGTAAGCATATTTGCACCTCTCGCAATAACAGCTTCCTTGATTTCCTTTATCTTGGCCATGATGGAAGCAATGGTTGTATGGGGTTTCTTATACAGCCTGGGAAGCTCTGCCACACATACTCCATTTTCATATCTTGCAATGATGTCTTTCTTGAATTCTATAGTGTTTTTCACCTTTACCAAAGGGCTGGCACTAGAAGCTTTCTTTGGGCCCATGGTGGCTTATTTAGTAGTTGCAAGCACAAAAAAGAATGGAATATTACGAAATGTATCGTATGAACGGGCGGGGTGATGATCACTCGATGATAAACAATAGCGGACTGACTGTGAATTGTGTGGGATGGTGTGAGGGGCCGCTCGTATGCATTTGGGACGAATGACTATTACCGAGGTAAATGATGATCACCGAGCCAATATTTTGACGAAAAAAACTTTACGATTACCAAATAATTACGAAATCCAATGACTACGATATCCGGGATCCACTGTACTTATAACAAAAATACTTGTGAGAACATAGGTTCTGAATTCTGAACACTCAACTTAGGAACAATTTTCAGGAATGCATTAATGTTGTAAGTGGCAGACCTTATGTATATGGTATTCAGCTTCTTGGCAGATTACCTTTCGTTCATATATTGCAACCTATAAACATTATTTTATTTTACTTACTCAGTTATTTTCCAATCTTACATTCATTTTTTATTATAAGCTCATCATTATTAGCCATTGCTTCTGTTGCTGCATAAATTTTAATCTTTTATTGAAATTACTTAATTCTGACAATATAATTCTCTGATGCTCTGCTTTAAGTATAGTTGTACTTTTTTTTTTTTTTTTTACTTCTGCACCACATGCATAGATTTGGTTTCAATTTCTCACTCATCCTCTATATGTAATGACATGAGCTAAGTTTGATCATGCATTATTAATATGTAGCAGCATGATTTTGTTTTCTTTCAGAATCACCTAGTCAAGGAAACACCGCGACAGTTCATCCAGTCTCTGGAAAATCAGGCTTTCAATGCATTGCCGTTTTGCCTGGATTAGGTATCTACACAGATTCCAGTGACTCGGACAATAATGTAGACTCTGATAGTGATGATGATGATGATCATGTTCAGTTACCTCGGCAGCCTCGAGATATCACAGGTCGTATCGTGAAGCCTACAACACAATGTAGTGGCCAGTCTGGCTGTTGATGAAGTGAGTTGTTGAAAATAAAAAAGAATAAGAAGACAAGTCCTAAGTTGAATCATGCTGGCCACAATGCCATCCTTACAGTAATTGTATATGAAGATTAGTGCTTCACAGAGCGTGAGTGCTCAGCCTTCCAGTCTTGAAAGTTATACGTGAAAAATTGCCACCATTGAAATACTGTACTTCTTCCAGTACAGAAGAATTTTTTTTTTATTTTCAACAAACCGGTCATATCCCACCGAGGCAGGGTGACCCAAAAAGAAAAACAAAAGTTTTGTTTTTTAAAGTTGGTAATTTATGCAGGAGAAGAGGTTATTAGCCCCTTTGCTCCTGGCATTTTAGACGTCTCTTATGACACGCATGGCTTACAGAGGAAGAATTCTTTTCCACTTCATGTGAAGATAAGAGGAAATAAAGAAAGACCAAGAACTATTAAGAAAATAGAAGAAAACCCAGATGACTGTGTAAATATATATGCATGTACATGCATGTGTAGTGGGACTTAAGTGTAAGTAGAAGTAGCAAGATATACCTGTTATCTTACGTGCTGATGAAACAGAAAAGACACCAGCAATCCTACCATCATGTAAAACGATTACAGGTTTCTATTTCACACTCACTTGGTAGGATGGTGGTACCTCCCTCGGTGATTGCTGTCTACCAACCTACTACCTAGGAGAATTAAATTTGACTTAATTAAAAAATGCATCTAGTTCATATACATACCTGATTTGTATTGTTTGAAGAATACTTTAAAAGAATAAGTTCAGTCTAAAGATGTCTTAGTGGCAACTAGTCTCAGATTGGGAAAACACATGTCTAATTCTGTATATAAATTCCTATTGTATTGTTTATTGTATTTGCAGATTATTAGGTTACTGTAAGTGATTAAAGTGGCATAATTAGCAATTGTGTAACTGCAAATTTCTGAAAAGTATCTGTACATTTTACATTATATTATTAGAACACATGTAATTGCTGCCAAGGGAAATACAGAGCTTTTTGAATGATCATGACAAAGAAATATTACTACACAAAAATACACTAATTTTATTGTTAAATATGTGTATCAACCTTGCAACTTCACTGAATCAGTCAAAACACAAAACTAATACAGGTGGGAAAGTACCCTAATACAGGTGTTGTACTGGCATTTATAATATAGTTTATCTTTAAGAGTACATATATGAATGCAGTCAGCTTTAATAGTAGCAAATGTATTGACTGTTGCATTTTTTTTTTTTAGCATACAATCTTTCACTTATACTTGACCTGTTTACTGTATAGATAAATCCTATCACCAATGTATTTATAGCCTTAGGGTTTTATTGCCTTCAAGTTCAAAGAGGAACCAAACAGCCTTCCTAAATCTTATTCACTATAACTCAGGGTAGAGACTGTACTTCATTATTTAAAATTTTGTAAATGTGAAGAGCAGCTCTTGCTGTTTCATATCCATTGTTTCACAAATGAACCATACATTAAACATGAATAGGTTTTTGTTTTTTCTTAGGGTCTGCAGTGAGCCACTGTGTGAGGAAGAATAATGCGAGTTGCTTAGATAAGGAAAATTAATAAAGTATGATGAATAAAAGTCATTATACAGTGGCTTGAATAATTTACAACTAACCTACACTTTGGAGAGGAAACAAAACATTTCAGTCCATCTGAGATCAGGAAGTTACATCTGACTTGATAATGATCCGAGAGGGTGTGAAATGTCGTCTACAGTTTTCCTATCTAAAGTGTGGGTCAGTTGTGAATTATTAGCATTCCTACAAGTAAAACAGTTTATGGAGCTAGTAAAGCGACAAAAAACAAGAAAAGACGTTCATGTTAATGCAGTATTTCTATTACATATTTATGTAAAATATGACATTAGAATACTATACTAGAGAGGTGTGTTCCAGTGAGGCTTTCCTAGTAATACTGACCAGTAGAGTAGTTGAAACACCAGTCATAAGGTTGATGGTGTCTCAGTCTTGGTTAGTCTAAAAAAAAGTGGCGTGTAGTTTGCATGTTCTAGCTAAGCACCTTCCTCAGGGGAAGTTCCTTGATGCTGGTGAGGGGGCTCTTGATCCAAGGGATTGGAATTGTTTTCCTCTTTATTGGGTTGAAACTTGTTGCCTCCCATTTCCTAGGCACTGTAGAACCCCTCCTGATTTTGCACTTTTCCCTAAATACAATAAGAATCAGCAAAGCACTATTAAATGATCCTCACAAGTTCAGCACTTTTCATGATATAATTCTCTTAGCTGAAATATAATTACTTGTAATACACACAAATAACCTACCCATAGGAGAAAAGGAGATTGAAACTTATGACAATATTTTGGTCCAACTTGACCAATATTTAGTCACAAGTGAGAAGGGAAGGGATCCAGAATATATGAGGGGAAGACAGGGAACAGGAGAGGTAGAGCAGGAAGGAGGGAGTAATTGCAGTATTGTGCCTTTTTTATTCTTTACCTGTGGGGAGAGGGAGGTATTAGGTAGATGGCGAGAATATTTTGAGGAACTTTTAAATGTTGAGGAAGAAAGGGAGGCGGTAATTTCATGCACTGGCCAGGGAGGTATACCATCTTTTAGGAGTGAAGAAGAGCAGAATGTAAGTGTGGGGGAGGTACGTGAGGCATTACGTAGAATGAAAAGGGGTAAAGCAGCTGGAACTGATGGGATCATGACAGAAATGTTAAAAGCAGGGGGGATATAGTGTTGGAGTGGTTGGTACTTTTGTTTATTAAATGTATGAAAGAGGGGAAGGTACCTAGGGATTGGTGGAGAGCATGTATAGTCCCTTTATATAAAGGGAAAGGGGACAAAAGAGATTGTAAAAATTATAGAGGAATAAGTTTACTGAGTATACCAGGAAAAGTGTACGGTAGGGTTATAATTGAAAGAATTAGAGGTAAGACAGCAGAATGTAGGATGGCGGATGAGCAAGGAGGTTTCAGAGTGGGTAGGGGATGTGTAGATCAAGTGTTTACATTGAAGCATATATGTGAACAGTATTTAGATAAAGGTAGGGAAGTTTTTATTGTATTTATGGATTTAGAAAAGGTATATGATAGAGTGGATAGAGGAGCAATGTGGCAGATGTTGCAAGTATATGGAATAGGTGGTAAGTATGCTGTAAAGAGTTTTTATGAGGATGGTGAGGCTCAGGTTAGGGTGTGTAGAAGAGAGGGAGACTACTTCCCGGTAAAAGTAGGTCTTAGACAGGGATGTGTAATGTCACCATGGTTGTTTAATATATTTATAGATGGGGTTGTAAAAGAAGTAAATGCTAGGGTGTTCGGGAGAGGGGTGGGATTAAATTATAGGGAATCAAATTCAAAATGGGAATTGACACAGTTACTTTTTGCTGATGATACTGTGCTTATGGGAGATTCTAAAGAAAAATTGCAAAGGTTAGTGGATGAGTTTGGGAATGTGTGAAAAGGCAGAAAGTTGAAAGTGAACATAGAAAAGAGTAAGGTGATGAGGGTATCAAATGATTTAGATAAAGAAAAATTGGATATCAAATTTGGGAGGAGAAGTATGGAAGAAGTGAATGTTTTCAGATACTTGGGAGTTGACGTGTCGGCGGATGGATTTATGAAGGATGAGGTTAATCATAGAATTGAAGGAAAAAAGGTGAGTGGTGCGTTGAGGTATATTTTTTTTTTTTTTATTATCACACTGGCCGATTCCCACCAAGGCAGGGTGGCCGAAAAAGAAAAACTTTCACCATCATTCACTCCATCACTGTCGTGCCAGAAGGGTGCTTTACACTACAGTTTTTAAACTGCAACATTAACACCCCTCCTTCAGAGTGCAGGCACTGTACTTCCCATCTCCAGGACTCAAGTCCGGCCTGCCGGTTTCCCTGAATCCCTTCATAAATGTTACTTTGCTCACACTCCAACAGCATGTCAAGTATTAAAAACCATTTGTCTCCATTCACTCCTATCAAACACGCTCACGCATGCCTGCTGGAAGTCCAAGCCCCTCGCACACAAAACCTCCTTTACCCCCTCCCTCCAACCTTTCCTAGGCCGACCCCTACCCCGCCTTCCTTCCACTACAGACTGATACACTCTTGAAGTCATTCTGTTTCGCTCCATTCTCTCTACATGTCCGAACCACCTCAACAACCCTTCCTCAGCCCTGTGGACAACAGTTTTGGTAATCCCGCACCTCCTCCTAACTTCCAAACTACAAATTCTCTGCATTATATTCACACCACACATTGCCCTCAGACATGACATCTCCACTGCCTCCAGCCTTCTCCTCGCTGCAACATTCATCACCCATGCTTCACACCCATATAAGAGCGTTGGTAAAACTATACTCTCATACATTCCCCTCTTTGCCTCCAGGGACAAAGTTCTTTGTCTCCACAGACTCCTAAGTGCACCACTCACTCTTTTTCCCTCATCAATTCTATGATTCACCTCATCTTTCATAGACCCATCTGCTGACACGTCCACTCCCAAATATCTGAATACGTTCACCTCCTCCATACTCTCTCCCTCCAATCTGATATTCAATCTTTCATCACCTAATCTTTTTGTTATCCTCATAACCTTACTCTTTCCTGTATTCACCTTTAATTTTCTTCTTTTGCACACCCTACCAAATTCATCCACCAATCTCTGCAACTTCTCTTCAGAATCTCCCAAGAGCACAGTGTCATCAGCAAAGAGCAGCTGTGACAACTCCCACTTTGTGTGTGATTCTTTATCTTTTAACTCCACGCCTCTTGCCAAGACCCTCGCATTTACTTCTCTTACAACCCCATCTATAAATATATTAAACAACCACGGTGACATCACACATCCTTGTCTAAGGCCTACTTTTACTGGGAAAAAATTTCCCTCTTTCCTACATACTCTAACTTGAGCCTCACTATCCTCGTAAAAACTCTTCACTGCTTTCAGTAACCTACCTCCTACACCATACACTTGCAACATCTGCCACATTGCCCCCCTATCCACCCTGTCATACGCGGATATGTGGAGTCAAAAAACGTTATCTATGGAGGCAAAGAAGGGAATGTATGAAAGTATAGTAGTACCAACACTCTTATATGGATGTGAATTTTGGGTGGTAAATGCAGCAGCGAGGAGACGGTTGGAGGCAGTGGAGATGTCCTGTCTAAGGGCAATGTGTGGTGTAAATATTATGCAGAAAATTCGGAGTGTGGAAATTAGGAAAAGGTGTGGAGTTAATAAAAGTATTAGTCAGAGGGCAGAAGAGGGGTTGTTGAGGTGGTTTGGTCATTTAGAGAGAATGGATCAAAGTAGAATGACTTGGAAAGCATATAAATCTATAGGGGAAGGAAGGCGGGGTAGGGGTCGTCCTCAAAAAGGTTGGAGAGAGGGGGTAAAGGAGGTTTTGTGGGCGAGGGGCTTGGACTTCCAGCAAGCGTGCGTGAGCGTGTTAGATAGGAGTGAATGGAGACGAATGGTACTTGGGACCTGACGATCTGTTGGAGTGTGAGCAGGGTAATATTTAGTGAAGGGATTCAGGGAAACCGGTTATTTTCATATAGTCGGACTTGAGTCCTGGAAATGGGAAGTGCAATGCCTGCACTTTAAAGGAGGGGTTTGGGATATTGGCAGTTTGGAGGGATATGTTGTGTATCTTTATACGTATATGCTTCTAAACTGTTGTATTCTGAGCACCTCTGCAAAAACAGTGATAATGTGTGAGTGTGGTGAAAGTGTTGAATAATGATGATAGTATTTTCTTTTTGGGTATTTTCTTTCTTTTTTTTTGGGTCACCCTGCCTCGGTGGGAAACGGCTGACTTGTTGAAAAAAAAAAAAACCTGTATTATAAATAATTGCTTATTTATTGTAGCTAATCTGTTACCAATCTTCCTAATTTCTGTACTGTGTATCTTTTTCTTTACCGTCATTGTCAGTTCCTCCTTATATTTTCTTTAATTCTATCTTATGTTTTCTCATCTTTAAAATCCCTCTCCTTTGTTTCTGAAGCAGTGTTTATATTTTTACATATACAGCATTTCTTTCTCATTTAAAATGTGTGAAATCTGTCTTGTCTGTATGACAGTCAAACCGACATGTAGAACTGTTTGGAAAATTTTAGTGTTCCTTCAGAAATCTTACAACCTTCGAAGTCATTTGCAATAACTCAGATTGGACTCAAGCCCTTCCACCTGTGGAAAGGAAAGCTTCCATAGGAAACAAAAAATATAGATGATAGAGTTTAACCTCGGTTTTCGTTTGCCCTGGTTTTCGTCAAATTAGGTTTTCGATGACTTTTTTCATCAAAATTCTGTCCCAGTTTTTGTTCATCACCTTGGTTTTCGTCCGCTGTGCTGAACATGTCCACCTGCCTGCACCCCCACAAAGCATCCCACGCACACGTTCCGAGTCAGTCTGGCTATGTTTCTTGTCGAGTGAATTTACCCTGTGCATTCATATGAAACATTTCATAATAATCCATTGTTTTTTGTGCTTGTTTATTGAGTGAGACTGTTAAATAAGCCACCATGGGGCCAAAGAAAGTTCCGAGTACTAGCCAAGGAAATTACTTCAGAGGAGGAGGAGGAGAGTGGGAAGAATGTGCCTTCTTCAGTGATTAAGGACGTGTGCAGAGTGGAGTGAGCTGAAAAGTTTTGTGGAGAAATATCACCCTAACAAAGCTGTTGCAAGCTGTATCTGCAACATGTTCAGTGACAATGCCTTGTCTCATTTTAGGCAAATCTTAGAGACGCCGGAAACAGACCTCAGGACAGATTTTTTGTGTGACGGGTACAGTGACTCTTAAGCTGCTTCTAGTGCCAGTAAAAGACAAAGAAGGTAAGTAACCCCAGATAGGGACTTGATACCTGAAGTCCTTATGGAAGGAGATTCCCCTTGCAAACAATAACCTCTCCCCTCTTCGCCGTCTTCCATACACCAACAAGAGTCTTCAGTGAAGGTAAAGGTTATGTTAAATGTTCATTTATCCATTTCATTAGTCCTTTATATTTATTCCTCATTGTTTTCTGTATGTAAAACTGTAGTTATTCTCTATAAAATGTATTTTTTGTTAATACCTTTGGATGTCTGGAATGGATTAATTGGATTTACATTATTTCTTATGGGAAATATTGCTTCAGTTTTCATCGAATTCAGTTTTTGTCAGACTTTCTGGAACGAATTAAAGACGAAATGGGAAGTACAATGCCTGCACTCTAAGGGAGGGGTTCGGGACATTGGCAGTTTGGAGGGATATGTTGTGTATCTTTATACGTATATGCTTCTAAACTGCTGTGTTCTGAGCACCTCTGCAAAAACAGTGATTATGTGTGAGTGAGGTGAAAGTGTTGAATGATGATGAAAGTATTTTCTTTTGGGGAATTTTCTTTCTTTTTGGGTCACCCTGCCTCGGTGGGAGACGGCCGACTTGTTAAAAAAAAAAAAAATAAATAATAATAATAATAATAATAATAATAATAATAATTTTATTATGTTCACAAAAATAGGTAAATAATACTATTATTTATCCCCATAAGGGTATTTGTTTTAGTTTGGCTTGTTAAATTTTTATTTATTTTTAATTTGGTGACATATTCTTTATTTTCGGGTCACCCTGCCTCAGTGGGAAAACGCCGACATGCTAAAAAAATATTGAAAATAAAATAAATGTTTAATTAATAGTGTAGTACAGAGTACAGTATGTTACTTTCCACAGAATATGAGTTTTTAAATAATGGAGGCAAGACTAAGATAATTGTATCCTTTTTGTATTGTTGCATGTGTTGATACATTAAATATGATAAAACTAGTTTTATTTTCAAATAAATAATGTTTTATATGTATTACCCAAGACACTTTACCCTTTTTATTTTTAACATACTGGCCATCCCCCATCAAGGTAAAGTGACCCAAAATAGGAGGAAAGTCATACACCATCATACATTCAATCAGTGAATGAGTTTCTTCATTTTTGGGGTTACCCTACATCATTGGGAGATGTTAAAAAAATTACCCTTCAGACTAAGAAAATCAATACTCACTTCTGAATTACTTGTAATTGAAAACAAAGTTAATATGTATAGCACTGATTAGTTAATTATTAGTTTGTAGGATGGTAAGTTGCTGAAGAGTTACTTTTGTTTTAAACTTGGTTTACTGACTGAATGGTGTGGCAAGAATTAACCACTGCATTACTTGATGTATAATCTCCCTGAAATTTAAAATCTAATATGGCACTTCAGTGAGATGCATATTTAGTTTTCAATGGGTAAATGTCATTTTATATACTACCAATAGTTACAGTAAGTGTAACAAATCACATATTGCCATTATGCAAAGTTTAATTTCCATAGTTTGGAAATTAGGAGGAGGTGCAGGGTTACTAAATGTATTATCAACAGGGCTGAGGAGGGGTTGTTGAGGTGGTTCAGACATTTAGAGAGGATGGAGCAAACTAGAATGACGTGGAGTGTACAAATCTTTGTGGAAGGATGGCAGGGCAGGGGTTGGCCTAGGAAAGGTTGGAGGGAGGGGGGTAAAGGAAGCACGAGTGTGTTAGATAGAATATATGTGAGGGGGAATGTGAGCAAAGTAACATGAAGGGATTCATGAAAACCGGTTAGCCAGACTCGAGTGCTGGAGGTGGAAAGTACATTGCCTGCTCTCTGAAGGAGGGGTGTTGATATGTGCAGTTTTTTAACTGTAGTGTAGGCATGCCTCTGGCAAGACAGTGATGGAGTGAATAATGATGAAAGTCTTTTTTTTCTTGGTCACCCTGCCTTGGTGGGAAACAGCCACTGTGTTAGTAAAAAATATATGAATATTTATATTTGAAAACATGCATTAATCCCACATAGGTCCTACAGTCATAATAATTTAAACAAACCAATACTGCCTTTTTTTTTTTTTAAGTTTTAATGTCTCTGCATATGTAAATAGGATAATTCCTTGCTCTACTTTTTACTGCTTCTGCTAATACTATTTCGTATAGAGTTAAGTTTGTATGCATATATAAGTTTGGCAGACTTCTTCAAGCTCACCTTGCTGAGCTGTTGAAAGGTCAACATGCCAATCTGTTGCAAGCTCAACTTGCCAAGATGTTGCAAGGCCAACATGCCAAGCCATTTCAAGCTCAGTATTTCACTTTTTAAGGTTCATCATTACTAACTTGTCCATAAATTGTCAGCTACTGTACTGTACTTAAATATGCTAAATATGGCTTAAAAACTTACCTTGTCTGCATGTATATATATATATATTCTTTCTTCTTTCAACATACCAGCCGTATCCCACCAAGGTGGGGTGGCCCAAAAGGAAAAATGAAAGTTTCTCCTTTCAAATTTAGTAATATACACAGGAGAAGGGGTTACTAGCCCCTTACCCCCGGCATTTTAGTCGCCTCCTACGACACGCATGGCTTACGGAGGAAGAATTCTGTTCCACTTCCCCATGGAGGTATATATATATATATACATACATACATACATACATACATACATATATATATACATACATACATACATACATACATACATACTTTGAAATTTCGAACTAACAGCAAGTTTCACTGGATAAGTTTCAACTACCAGCAACTTTTCATTTGTACAGTCACTACATATCATTAAAAATTAAGTGTTAATAGACACACTGCTGACAGTCACTTAGGAAGACTAGGCTTTATTAAACATTGTTTTGCTTAAATGTCAACTAAAAATTATTGGATGTTTCACTGCAGGCTTTATTAGAGGTTTTGCATATGTGAGCTTTATTAAGGTCTTGATAATGCTTTTATAAATCACACATTTGAGTAAAACATTTAATCAGGGCTTGCCTTACTAAGAACCAATTTTAAACAGTTTTGTTGTACTGTATTTTTTAAGTTAAGTTAGATGTCCGCTAGCTAGTACATGTACATTATGAATTGTTATTGCCTCTATAGTTTTATGATACAATCTATTGTACCTCAAACTTATGTTATTAACTCTATTTTTATCATTGAAAATGCAACTAATACAATTATGATGAAATTTAGGAAATGGAGTTTTGGGTACTAACATGAAACTTGGATCTTGTTAAAAATTTTACTGTATTTCTCTCATAAATTATTGAAAGAGGAGCATTAATAGAGACCAATGTGCAGTTCATTGGAATATATTGCAGTTCAATAGCTTTTACTGCAGTCAGGTGTTTCATAATTTAATGTTGTACTGTGCCTGGTTATATAATGAGTGTGCAAGACATGACAGTATTATTATTGCATTCATAGGGGGGGCGCTAAACCTGTAGGAGTCTTACAGCGCCTGGGGTAATGGGAAGCAGTCAGATTAAATTCGAGGAAGGGGAGGTCAGATCCAATTCCTTGAATCAAGAACCCCTCATTGGTGTCGAGGAACCTCCCTTAAGAGGAAGACATGGCAGTAGATTGGTAGTAAACAATACAAATTACACTGAATATCTTTTGTTACCTTTTCGTAGAGCAGTTCTTTCTTATAACTTTTATTTTTTAAATTTGAGAGCGATAAGAGGATTCCATTTAAACATTGCATGGATTGGCTGTTCAAATAAGGCAAGTTGGTTAAATGAGCCAAATTGCTTTAAAAAAATTCTTTTATCTTGAGCATTGATAAATGTACAGTGGCCCCACATTACAGTGGACCCTCACCTAACGATATTAATTGGTATCCGAGAACGAAT